CACTTCATGTGGAAGGGAGTTCCACAGCCCAAAAGCAGCCACTGAGGTGCCGCCTAATGCGCAGCTCATATGTTCAAGGTACAGCCATTTGAGGCAGAGAAAAGTAATTGGAGTGTTGGGAAAGGGGCTTTCTTGGATTGTCTGGGGGAATTCTGGTAGTTATAATCCAGAAAGTAATTTTTCTCAGCTTTGGGGAGAAACCCCAAAACATATCGCCCTCTGCTCCAAACCTGTGAGCCTTCGCGGCGGCTTCCCCCACCGACTCACTTGTTGGTGCGAGTGACACTTGTACAGCTGTCACCATGCTGGTGAGTTTATATGAATGATTCATCATATTTTCCCCCTCCTGATGTAAGTAGGTTAAGTGGGAAGACTGACTTCGTAAAATGCATTTGGCACTTCTGATCTGCAGACATTTATATAATCCTCAAGAATCCCTTAATTGATCCAGGGAGAGGGCTTGGAAAGAACCCCTTTCCCACAGACTGGATTTTGAATAATGAGTCTCGCCCCCAGAGTGCATGCCCTGTTTTGAACTCGGTGCCCCCTTACAGCGCCCTAAAATTTTTTCCATGCCTTTCCAGTTTCACAGAAGCCAGGCTCCCACTCTTAATTAACGTGAGCTGCTCGTTTGGAATCAAATTAATTGAACATTTGGAAGGGAAAGGTTCGCTTTGTAGATATCCATTAGTCTGCATTTTAATCAATTAGCTCAAGCAAAATTGGCTCAAAGGGGTCCAAGTTTCCAGACGCATCTGCTCCATCTCAAAAACCCATCGGCGCTGATGCCATAAACTTTGGTGAGTGGAGCATGCGGCCGACCACCAAAGGCAAAAGCTAAATGCATCGTGACGTAGGAAGGTTTTCTCATTTTATTCCCCCTAACAACACAAATTTCTACACGGGAGGCCAGAACTGAAGAGCTGAAGCCTCAGGTTGGTAAAACCAGTGCCGGGGAACTTTCCTAGAACCCTAGAATGACAGAGTGAAAAGGGCTCTCTTAAGGCCATCCAACCCAACCCCCTGCTCAAGGCAGGAATCCCGATCCAAGCAGATCTGATTGGTGCTTGTCCAATTTTCTCTTGAATTGCATTGGAATGCTCGCCACCTCCCAAAGTCATGGGTCCCATCATTGTACTGCTCTAACAGTTGAGATGTTTTTCCTGATAATTTAGCTGAAATCTAGCTTCCTGCAACTTGAACTCATTGTTATGTGCCATGCAGTCTGGGATGATCAAGAACAGATCCCGACTCTCCAGGGTTTTAGTGGAACTACGACTCTCATCATGCCTCTGTCTAGAGCAGATGGGAACCGGAGTTCTAAAACAGTTGGAGGACCATGTCTCCCCCAGTCATACCATAAATTGCAAGTCCCATTTCCAAACTGTGGATTCATCTAGTGTCGAGGCCAAGTTTCTCGAGAAACTGCTCAGCTGGAGTTAGGTAGCAGTGGCACGATTCAGGATTCTATTTATTCATTAAAACACGTAGACTTACCTAGCATGGTTTAGTGGATAGAGTGATGGACTAAGGCTCAGGAGGCCTGGATTCAAATTCATAGACATGGAAGTTCTGGGGTATGGCATGTGGAACTGTGAAAACCACTTCTTAGATAGTTTTCACTTACCTTGTAAGCCCTAATCGGGTTTCTATTAGTTGGCTCTGACTTGGTGGCACAGAGGAGACACATTAAAACATACACATATCTCGGCCTGTGTGCTCCGCCAAAGTGATGCCCAGCAAGGAAAACAAGACAGATAA